GAGCTGCACCAGAGAAAAGCCTCTTTTAACTTTCTGAGTTTCATCTAAACAACCTATAACATCATTCACATGATGCTAATGCACTATTTTTATCTTCCTTTCTATCAGTCCTGAACAGCAGAATATTTTAATACCAGGGATGACTGTTATTCTACCATATTTCTGCTACTTGCATGATAGCTAGCTTACACCCCATATTAGTTGCTCATATTTCTTTCCAACAATATCTGGAAGGTAGTTACAAAGATAACGGAGCCAAAGTCTTCTCAATAGCAGCAGGCGATATAACAGGGCAATAGCAACAAGTTGAAGCTTGGCAGGTTCAGGCTGAACATCAGGAACAACTTTTTTACCAGAAGGGTAATGCGGCACTGGAACAGGTACCCAGAAAGGTGGCAATACCTCCAGCCTTGGAAGGTTTCCAGACTTGGTCAGACAAAATCATGGTGACCTGATTGAGCCAGAGGTTGGATCAGAGACCTCCAGAGGTTTCCTCCCACCATCAGTTCTCCGATTCCACAGCATCACCTGAGATTCCCTGTAGTACACAGGCATCTGCCTCCCTGGCCTCACCTGCTTCCCTTAGCTGAACTAGATAGCCCTTTGGCTACTGGTATTGTCTGCTGCTGCTTCTCTCATCACAATTAGTATATTCTTTCCCCTTGTTGTCTAGGCCTCTGCCCATCGATACCTCCTTATCTGTCATCACATAGTTATTTAATTGGTTTTCACCTCCCTGCATAGGAAAACAGATACACAGCCCTCTCCCAGCAGTTGCAGCATCACTGAATGGCTCCCTTGAACATGATACCTACACGGTAAAGTTATATTTACTAGCTAGCTTGGTAAGTTGCACAACTTTTTACCAAAGCTGTTCCTTTTAGCCAGGCTGATCCAGCATGGAATGGATTGCAGCTCTGGAGAATGGAAGAGAGTCCCAGCTTTAGCAGACACCTGGAGGGATTTGATTATGGAGAACAGACAAGAGTGGCTTACTGCTCTGCAAAACAAAGTCTATCACAACTGCTGTGTTGGAGCCTCTCTGCAGGCAGTAACCCACAACTCATTTCACAGCCACAGCACACGCTGCAGACCTCCCCCAGCTCCTCTGCATAAACAGCTAATGGGCAAATCTGCTGAAATGCAGTTTTGGCTCCACTGGAGCTGGTATAAAAACATAACAGAGAAAGGAGCCTTGCCTGAGCAGAGTGCTCTGTTGCATTTGCCCTGGGGTGAAGGAGTTGCACAGATGCTTGTCCTCTGCTTCATTGGCTGATGGCAATATGTGGGTGCCCTCTGAGAGCACAGACAATGCCGGATAATAACATGCGGGGCCAGGGGAGCAGAGATGAGTGCATCTCAGATTGAAGGGGGATGCAGGGATTCACAGGGTGTGCTGGTAGGTGTGTGGTGTTACCCTGGTGAGGCAGTGGGAGAGCTAGTCAGAGTGGCTGGCCACGTTTGACAGCTCAGGGCTCCTAAGCATAACTTCAGCAAGAAGAATTAATATTCCTTGAGAGGCTTTTCCAAGTAGGACTGAAGTGGTGAGCGAGGATGGGATTGGGATGCAAGGGGTAAGTCTGTATCAAGAACCCGTACCTGGCCAGTGCAAGGTGCTTCTTGGGCTGGGTGTCAGGAAGTTGTACCGGAAGAGCTGGGGATTATCACGGTTTCCTGCAGGTGTGTATACATGATTATAGCAGGCCAGAGGAAAGGTAAGTTGTGTTACTGCAGGGCTAGCAAGACTGTGAAGAGAGGAACAGGCCTGCAGAGAAGCAGCCATTTTCTCTCCGTGTGTCTGAAAGATGGGAAAAAGCAGTAGTTAAAACACCATCAGAGCTCATCCATTTCCTCTCTTGTGGCTCGATTTTTCTTCCTGTGTTTTTTCCCATGAAGCCAGGGCTGACTTGGCGGCTGGCGGGGGCCCCACACACTGCCGGGCTCGGGGGGCTGGGTCACGCCGCCGCAGAGCAAACCAGCTTCCAGGCAGTTGAAGGTGGTTTTGCAGGGGGTGCGGGGGGGGGAACAAAGCAGCTTCGACCTCTAAGTCCTTCACAAAGCTAAAGTCTTCTAAAAAGCAAGCGGACAGAGATGTGGCTGCTTTCAGAGGCTGCTCAGCGGGTCCAGAGGAGATGAGCTTGCACGCAGAAGCACGGTGGGAAAGGCCGATACAATATTGACTTAAAGAGGGATCCAGCAAAAGCAGCCCAGCCACAGGTTTGGGGATGCTCCTCGAACACAGCTGATCACGCCCCGCCTCCCTGCTGCCTCAAGTCTCCTGCGTTCGGTAAAGCAAGAGTTAACAGGTTTAAGGGTTGGGATTTTTTTTCCCTTCTGCTTTGCCAGAGCGAAAGTGAAACGAAGGGCCGTGCTGCTGCCGGCAGTCGGGCTGGGTCTGGTTCCCACGAGGATTTCGGGGCCTGGAGGCGGCCGGGGAGGCCACGGAGCGGGATGGCCGGCGGGCGGGTGCCGTGCGGGGCCCTGGTGCTGTGCGGGGCCCTG